CAAAATCAAAATCTTGGCTGATTTCAATGTGCTGTTGGATGTTGTCCGCCATTGCTTCTGTGGTTAACGTCACGTTGTAATCCAACTGCAGTTGAGTTGGACGGCAATTGTAGTTCAAGATGAGCGTTCGATGACGTATACTATCAAACTCACAAATGGACCAATCAGAGGTTAACGCTGATTTCCAGCTGACGGCGTCCTGTCCTAAGAAACCAGGCCTTAAGGTTTTTATTCTTGCCGTTTTCAGTTGTTGCCAAATTAAAAGTTTCCTAATGTTACTCGTTGATTGTTTGGAGCCACTTCAAACCGCCTTCCACATCAAAAACAATGAACGACAGTCATTTAGTACCATAATTTAGTGATATATTCAAAATGTAAAGACTTCGCAAACTATATTATTATTGTACAATAGAATCATTCCCTAAAAAATCTCAATTTTCTCAAAGTTATTACTTGAAACCACTTTTTACGAAACTATTTTATTATCATCGATTTCACTGGTTCTTTTCACGCACTTTTCATAGCAAAAACATTATTTTTGACTCAATGCGACTAATAATGTAAAAAGACCACGGTTTTTAATCAATTCAGAGGTTTCCTTGCACAGCTTTTATTAACAAAACACAACTTACCATCTTCCGTTTCTTTTAACACATTGACTGCCGCATGTGTTTACAGTGAAATCTCGTTTAGGCCACGCCGGTGTACGAAGAGCATTCTGCTAAGTACTCTCACCGATATTTTAATATTGCGAGTCTCTGGTGGTCACAAGAATAATGTCTCGCTCCGTTTATTTCCATGGTATCATGTCAGTTTATTTGTGTCCGTTGCTTCGCATCTGTTTCTCATCTCGTCATTTTACTCGATCAGTTTGAATCTTTGCCGCGTAATCTTTACCCTATTCGTTGAAATTTCGAAAAGAAAAACGGAAAACTATCTTAGTATGTCAAATAGCAGTAAACAAGAAAGCTTTTTCGAGGCTCGCAATAAATTTCTTAATAAATCATTTTTGAATTACTTTTATAACAATTCAATAATTTTGTTACTTCCTGTGAAATACCTTTTTAAATACATACGAATATCCTTCGCAAGAAGTTAGTCAAATAAGCATCACCCCAATACGGGTGACGCGGCTCGATCAGAAACATTGGTGTCACTCGAATATGGGTGACACGGCAGTTAACGTGTTAAACAAATCATTCTTAAGTCAATAATCGATTAATTTAATTCCTAAATTAATAGTTTCATTAATTGATTATATTATATAATTATTAATAATTATATCATATGCATTACGTTGTTACTAATAATTGAGCATTTTATTTTATTTTTTTCCTACCAGGGAAAAGACAATGTCCTGGAAAACCACTTGCTGAAATTGAAGTTTTCCTATACGTCGTCGCTCTTTTACAAAAATTCGAGGTGTCCTTACAACCTGGAAGAAAAGCTGATTTAGAAGAACAACTCGGAATGGGCCTTTTCCCCAAAAAACAAGAGATTGTATTTAAATTACGAATGAGTGAAAACAAAATGCAAGCTACATAGTTGTACATATATTAAATTTAGCACACATTTAATAATAAATGTGACTTATAATAAAACATATTTTTATTATAAGTATTGCTTATAATAAATGTTACAAATAATAAAACATATTTTTGTAATAAATATTGTTTATAATAAAAAAGATAAAACAGGGCTTGAAAAAACTCAGAAATTTTACCCGTCCCAGAGGACGGCTTGTCCAACAATGTACCCGTCCTCCTTTGAAACTAACCCTTAGCTTCTAAATAAATAAAAATATAATTTTCTCTTATTTATTACTAACATTTATAAAAATTGCTCAATGAATTAGTAGTTACTAGGATTACATTATACAGTAAAAGAAATACTAGGTTACTAATAGTAAAACCAAGTATTTCTTTTATGAAATAATTTAAATGACAAAGGTCAAGTTATCTGGAATGTCAATTTATCCGAGGGTACTGCGTTTTCTAAGTGAATCAAATATGACGTTGGATTCGAGAAATTGGTTGTCCGCGGGAAATTTTTGACCGCCAAGGACGGGCGGTTTTTCGAGCTCTGAGATAAAATATTTGAAGTATTTTTATAATTCTGTAAAGTACCATTTCTTTATTTTGATGTAAAATATTGTACTCTGCTCTAATAGTTTTGACATCACATCCTTCAACTCATGGCTTCTACGTTGCTTAAACCTCCACATAGGTGCGTACAAGATTTTAAATTGTGTAATTTTAAATAACAAAATCCAAAATTTCATTGATATCGATCAAAAAGTTCCTGAGAAATGGAGATTTAAAAATAAGATTTTCCTTAGATGCTTAGATCTTCTAAATTTTTTCATTCAAAAATATATTATTTAAAATTATTTAAAAATTTGAATTTTATAAACAAGGTTTATGATAATGAGAAGCAAGCTTTAATGCAGAGCTATGGCAAAATACATAAAAAGTGAAAGTAACACAAAAGGCTTAAACTGTTAAGTGCCCTCCTGCTGCAATCTAAGAAATATGATACAAATATTCTTCCTCTAATAATATTTATACCAAAATAGCTAGGTGGCCGGTATAACCTGGATGGTAGAGAGTTTAGTCCGTGCTCAAGAGATCGTAAGTTCGAACCACGCTTGCTGAAGACGTTCCTTGTTGTAAATGGTGACTGCTGCATGTTAAATCGATCGGGTCACAAAATCCTCCTTGTTACCATAACAAATCAATACCTCTGTGGGTAATGAATTGGAGATGGATTTTCTCTGGTTTCATATCAAGATTATGATGTGTAGATAAATGTATGAATGAGTCCTCCCTGCAAAACGAGAGTTGACGTGTGTGTGGCTGAGATCGTATTATTGGACATAGATAGCGCCACTTAAATACAAGAAGAGCACCCTCTGCCTTAAATTTGCTCGGTTCAACCAAGCAGGCTTACTAATATCGCAAGTGGCTTTAGAAGCAAGACATTTCCTAGTTTGCAGCAATCCTCTACCACATTTGTTTTTTCAAAAATTTTAATTTGTAAAAAAAACTTACATGCGATCAAAGAAAGTACGTTTTTATATCTTATTCCATTCGTCTTATTCCATTGCTATTGCATCTTATTCCATTGCTATCGTCTGCACTGAAATATGCTTATTTCAGATCTATTTCTCGAATCATTAAGATTGCTTCTCGGTTTATGAAAAATCAAACATTAGATCAAAACTTATTCAAGATGTTTTGCTTCCTGTCTTGTTTCCTGCATATTACGATGAAAATTTCTTCCAATTTTACATTTTTTATTAATTTATTTCATTGCCGTTAACTTCACATTCCATTGACTGCAGATTTAAGAAAGGAAAGAGTGAAAAATAAACATTTCTACAGCATTTCAATGCAACAATTTATATGCAACATTTCTATAGGACAATTCATGTCTCCATCCCAAGAGAAACGTATTTCCATTGGACAATTCATATTCTCATCCTAGTAGAAACGTTTTTCTATTGGACAATTCATATTCCCTTCCTTATAGAACAGCATTTCTATTGGAAAAGGGACACTATCTATCTGTAACTGATTGATTATTGATGTATTTCCGGTGGACAGGTAAGTGAAATGAGTTCTGCTGAGGCAGATGTACATTCTTTGCTGGTCTTACAAGTTTTATTTTGAATTAATTTTTCATAACAACTTTTTTATGGGGTTTACATCAGTAAAATGTGTAAAATAAAATTAGAAACAAACATTTTAAATGAAAAAAAAACAAATAAAAACCTTCAAAATTATAAGTCTTTTATCTTTTTATTTATGATGGTCCAAGAGTTGCAAACGTTAGTGAATAATTTAAAAGAAAACCCTCATACGTATATCGAGAGGTTGGTAACTGCAGAAGGTATAAAGAAACTTAATTATATTGTATCATTAATTATTATTTGTTATAACAATTCTTTCAATATTAATTTAGTTTTACAACTTCAGAATTTCGTAGAAAAATATTTTTTAAAGATGCTTTTCTATAAGCAAATCACTGAGAATCATTAAAAACAAGACTGTTTCAATAAGTAAATTATAATTTTGTTTTCATTTTTACCATATGATTCGTAATATCCCAATAAAAGACTACTTTGAGAAATTTTGATTAATGTAACGTTATCATCATCATGGCGCTACAGTGCTTGTGTAAACTTGGCCTTCTTTAAGAATTAGCTAGTCAGTTAGTTTATTAAGAATTATTGGCGCAAAATCCATTTTTGGCCATACCGCACCTACAATTTGTTTTATAAAAAAAAAACATTCTGCTATAAGTAAAAGCTAAATTGATATGTAAAACCATTGTCCCTACGATAATTAAAAATAATATTTTGCAGTTTATCCCCCATAATAAAGTCAATATTGGTTTAAAGCTACCAAAATGACGTTGTCTCTGGAATATAAATTTGTTACACTTGGTTAAAATATGTTTATTAGTGAGCGGTTCCCCACAATGAAAACATTCTAGTGTAGGTTCCTTTAATAAGAGTTCTTTATGGGTTATTTGAATGCGACCAATTCGCAAGCGATTTAATAATACTTCATGCTTGCGACTAATATTTAGACTTTTATAAGATTCTATAGAAGGTTTAATGTCGTGCAATTTATTACTTGTGCCAGTGTGAATACTGTTTATTGTCAATCGCATTCGTGATGTCTGTGCAGGTAAAAGGGTTGTTTGTTATATTGTTCGCTGACTTAGCCACATAACCTGCTGTTTCGTTACCCGAAATGCCAGAATGGCCTAGTGCCCAACAGAAAATTATTTTAGATTCCTTTCTAAATAAATTGCTTCATAGGTTTTAAATATCATTTATAATGAAATGTGGATTTAGTTCTTTATTTTGTAAGGCATCAATGCAACTTCTTGAATCTGAATATATTAACCATTTTTTTAAACTTTAAGAGGAAATATATTGGAGAGCCAGATAAATTGCATGGTAATCAGATATAAATATAGAGTATTTCGAATGCTAATACTCAAATATTGTGGAGATTGGTGTAACAGCCGCCCTTGCAACATAGTCATGGCCTTTAGAGTCATCTGTAAAAATGGAATTAAAATCATTATATTGTTCTCGGTGAGAATTAAAAATCTGTAGGTAAATGTTAGCAGCAGTTTGTGCCTTTGTCAAATCGCTAAAAATATTTATAGTTTGAAGAGGAATGACTAAGGAGGGCTAAAATCAGATGCAGGTAAAATCATTCAGTTTTAGATAAAAGCTTTCTTATTCTTAATTGTCGGTATTGCAGAGGGTCTGTTGCTAAATAATCTTTCATAAAATGGAGTTATAACATTTAAAAACATGGGATGAATATGATGATATGAGAAGAATAACAACTGCTTTCGCAGTGAAGACGGAACAAATGGCAGAGATGGTATAATTGTAAGTTCGATCAGATATTATGATCCCACACCCAGTATGTTCAGGAGATTTAGAACCAACTGTAATAATTGCTACATATTGTGAATATCTGTGAGGTGAATTGCTGATGAAAAGCACTAGGTGCGACATAAGATTTGGTGTATGACAAAAATTGAGATTTACAATAATATGATGAAATCATAAGATATCGAGCATAATCACACGGTATTGTAGGTGTTCCTCTGTTTTGAGGTTGGTGTGTGGAACAGAGCACCTTCCCATTATCAACCAGCGACACCACACACCACGGAGTCTAACTAAGGGATGCAAGCAACAGATAATGCTGATACCAATCCGTTTCTCTACACCGATGTTGACCAATAGCTATATGCCCGAAAGTCACTCCTGAAGCAGCCGTCACCCCAAGGGGCCCAATAAGTGACCCCTGGTTTGCTAGCCAACATATGACGTTTAAGACCAGCCGAATGATGCATACTGGCCAATATGCACCCCTCTTTTACCTGAAGCATGGGCCAAAGCAGTGTGCTGGCGTACCAAGATGCCCCTCAACTACCAGAATCCCCTTTCCCAGGGACACGGATCTCCAAGATTGGACACGTGGTTGGTCTCTTCCCATCAAGGCCCGCTACAACAGGGTGGTAATCGAACACAGGCAAAAAGCCCTTGCCAATAAACTTGGCAATCACGACAAGGGTGAAGAAAAAGAGGAAATTAGGAGTAAAGGGAGAGGAATACGAAGGGAGGACAGATCCTTATGGTACCTCAGGGGCGGGACTACTAGTGTTTACCTAAAAAAGGTAAAGTTGCTAAAAGGAAACAGCTTTCATATGTGGTATTAAAAAATGGTAAACTAAAATATCTGTATTGTAACTCTATCTATAATTTAAGTCACAAAAATTGATTTCAATTAGAAACGGAGAAATACAAAAAAAAAATTTCTTTTGCGTATTTGTTCGGTTGAACAACTCGGAAATTTTATAATGAACACGTTTCAAAATTTGTTATTAAGCTTATCAACAGCTGCTAGATGATGAAAACTCTAAATTCTTAAATGTTTAACAAGCCTTAATGCATAATAATCGATTCGAACAGAAATATTTTCACGAGTGTTCGTAATTTTATTTCTGAAACTACGCAACATAGTTTCTGCAGAAGGTGGTAATTTCGATTTTCTTTCTCAGATGCGCCATCTCTAGAAAAACTATGTAATTAATTCTGAAACTTGGTATTAAAAGTTCAAAAATGATAAATAATGATCTTGATGATAAATTGTTCTTAATTCATTTACCATATTTATAAATTCATTTACCATATTTGATTGATTCATTTATCATTGTTTTCTTAACGACACGCAACAAATAGAGCATTCCTATTGTTTTTCTTTTTCTTAAATTCATATTTCAAATCGTTGGCCATTTTGTACATTTCTTGAAACATTATTTTAAACTGCCAAAAAAAAAACATTCCAAGATCACGATTCGAATACCTCTCATTGCATAGATCTTTTTTTTATTTATAAAAAACTATTAGAATGAAGTAACATATTCTTACTAAAATAAATATTATTTAAACTACTGTAATTAAAAATGTACGAAATATTTAAATTTTATTATAAATTATATCCTGAACAAATTTATAGGTGAAAAAATTAATTAATTTTCTAGAGTTTTGAACATGACCTTTCAAAAGTGTCATAACATTTTTGAAATTTCTATTGATGACATTTTAGACGGATGAAATAGTCACCCAGTAGGAATGTGACAGATTAATGTACGTACTTACATTCAAAAGAGAGTGCCGTTAATTATTAAAAAAAGTACAATTCTATATTGTTGTACTATAATATTAAATAGTTTGTGCATTACTTAAAACTGCCTTAAGCATATGTTTTTAAAGTCTTTGTCAAAAATGAAGCAAAAAAGTGTACACACTTATTTTGTGTCCAATTTTAATATTGAGGCTAAAAAGAAACGATGGAAGTCAATCGAATCACTATCGAGGAAGGTGGAATGAAAAATATCAAAATAAATTTGAATACTTGATTTAACTTGATGGAGTTTCAAATAATCGCTTTTTACACTCCTTAATGTTTTCTTTGGCAATCATATAGGCTTTGATGATTGTAGTTCCACCTTCCTTAGTAATTATTCAATAAACCACGATAAAATTGGGGCCTTACTCTGAAACAATAATTTGTGGCTCCTATCATGAATACTTTTTTATTTCATTTTCGACAAGGATTCTAAAAATATGAATTAAGAGTAATGATTACAGAACACTGCATAAAAAAATTTATTTCCATAATAAATTTTAACAAATAATTTTTTTAAGAAATTACTACTAATATTTTAGTATTTAAAATTTGATAAAAAATACAAAATAAACTTTCTTTTATAGAAGTTACAAGCATACTGCATGAAGTTGGAAAATTTATTAAAGAAAATCTACAGAAAAATAACGTAATCCATTTTTCTTATATATTTTTTTTATTCGTTATATTGATTATTTATTCATTTTCCGACATCGTGATTCGTATACTCACTAATAATTTTGTTAATTCTAATAATTGATAAACAAAGGTTGGCTACAATTAAAGATATCGAGGTTAGACCAATTCATGAGTCCGTAATAGTTGACGTACGTCAATGAAACTTGGTCTATACATTATAGTCCATGGGAGCATAAGAAAACTATTTTCTGTGTCTAAATCATGAGCGAAAAATCCAGTTATTAATCATCTATTACTAGGATTGGAATATAATTTTATTCCTTAATTTTTAAAGATTTATGGAAGTGGAAAGATTATAATGGAAGAAAAAAAATTTTAGAATCATTATACTGAGAAAATTATAATGTTAGGAGAACAGGAGATTTCTCACAAAATAAAACAGATTTCTAAAACTTGGTCATTAAAAATAATCTCTCCCACCATCATTATCTTTATAACTAAACAATTTCATGATATTATGATTTTTTTAATGATTCTTGGCTTCAACAAATTTGCAAACAATAAAGTAATAACTTCAGTAAAAATTACAAACAAAAAAATTACATTTATTTACAATAAATGCAATTGAGATGTTAACTGTAAAAATATGCAACAATATCACATTTATCTCAAAAAAAATGTTTTCAATTTAAAAACTTAAATGATTTCTATTGCGCTGTGCATCATAATAACAAATTAATAACGTAGTATTTTAGACATGTAGTGTTCAAGAAGTTCTAAATGTAAGGTATATTATAGTTAAGAGTTAGTATAGGTGAAATAGATGTTACAAATAGGTGATGTTTACAAATTTTTCACAAATTTTCTTGATATTTTTCCTGATAAAAATTTCAAAAGTTTTGATCAGGAAAAAAGTTAAAAATCAATTCTTGTGCAAATTTATGAGACAAGCGCAAGCAATAAATGTTTTTCTTATAATTTCAGTTCAAACGGTTTTCGACAGAAGGCGTTGCATACATAAAAAACATTGCAGAAATAATGAAAGAAAAGATAACTGAAAATATGGTGAAAAAAAATATTATATTTGACATGAATTTACTGCAAGAATTGTTTCTTTTTACCATGACCATTTTTCAGTTATAAATTTTTTAAAAACCGCCCACTTTGATTTTATATATATATATATAATTTATTTTTACAGACAGTTGTGATTAATGGAATTGGAACATTTGGATTAAAGCAAGAAAAACTATTAGTTTCCCAACAACCAGTAAAGTACCTCATAAGTCAAATTCCTGTTTTTGTTCTTTCTCATAGCTTGGCGCTTAAATTTCGTATAAAGTGGTCCAGAAAATATTATGAAGGTAAGAAGAACTTTTATCTAGAATGAATTAAAGAGTGATTTAAAAGCTACAGTCAGTTTCAATTACAGTATTCTCATTTTTCTAGATTTAAGGTCATTTCATTTTTTACTGAAAAAGGGACAACAAGAAGCCAAAAGATAAAGTCTAGTGTAAATGAACTCGAAACAAAACCCAACATGCCTTGCTTTAACTTCTTAGTCTTAACAGCCTACCGTTCAAACGATATCCAAAATCATTGTTTTTCATGTAGCTTGTTTCTAACAGAGAAATTAACATCATTCGAAATATTGATTAAATCCACCAAAAATGAATTCAAAACAAATCCCAACATGCCTTGTAATTTACTGCCTAGTTTTAATTGAATATCATCCAACAGTTCAAGAGTTATCAAGCTTGTTTTTACTTTAACTCTTTTGCTGTTGTCGTAGGCCATTAACGCAAGGGGAACGTTTGTTCTTGTTCTTCATTGGCGCCATCTATGGCCAAGAATTCGACTTTTGCCACACTCATACGTCCCACCCGTTTAATTAGCGTCCCCATTCATTCATCCACAGATCGTAATTTTGACCTGAATCAGAGCACGATCAATCTCCAACCCAGTACCCCCAGAGGTTTAATTTATAATGGGCAAATGGAGGACTTTGTGACCCAACAGGTTTAACGGTCACCATTCCCCAATTACTACACGGAGATTCTATGGCCGGCTCGTTCTCACGAACGTGAGTGCAGCGCCCTGCCAACCGTCTATCCCGGTCCTATTTAACTCTTTTATTGCCGAAAAATGAACATCGTTCAAAAAATTAAACGAGTCCACCAAAAATGAACTCAAACAAATCGCAACTTGCCTTGCAATTAATTGTCTAGTTTTAACTGAATATCTCCCAACGGTTCGAGAATTATCAAATTTGTTTATTATATCACTCATTTCTTGCCAAAAAATGAACAGCATTCTAAATGTATAATTCGTCGAAAAATCAAATCAAAACGAAAACAAAAAATTCTATGTAGATTAATAAATGTCAACCAATACAACAGCAGGGTTTATACTGAATCGTTATAAATTCAGGATAAGCAGTATTACGACACATTAATTACAGTAAAGCAAGGTTATTTTCTAAAATGGAGTTTTACAAAAATATTTTGATAAGTGATGTATTTTTAAATGTATGTATGTCTTGATAAAATGTTGCATCTAACAAATGAGAATTCTCCTAAATGTTAACTTCCTTTCAAAATCCTATTTTAGCCTCGTTCCCAGAGAGGGTTTTCAACTCAAGCTACATCGCAGCAAAATGCAAAATACAGAGATCAAAGGTCTGTCTGGCTATGTCGGAATTAATTGCATTCATGGAACGCAGTCTTTTCTGTCAGAACGCTCTGGAACTCCCCATTGTTGGCGTTGGAACGCTGAGAGTACACGAAGATCATTACAAAATGGATTTTGATGAAAGCTTTTTGAAAGATGTCTCAATACAAGATGTCCTTTACGTTGTTGAATGATTTAGAAGCTTTTTCACTATTTCACTACCTAGTCTTTGGAATCTATCAGATCGAGATTTATCTAAATCTAATCTCAATTTCATTCAAAAATGAAATTATAAATGAAATCTCAGTTCATGAAAATTAATATTTCTAAGATATAATTTATTATATATAAATTAACAACAAAATATAATTACCTATAAATTGAATTTTTATATTTTTTGAAGATTAAATATTAAAAGCATTAAAACTGGATACTTGTGAGTCTTGTTAAAAAATTCCAAACTGTTTTAACTCTTTTTTAATTCCACACTCTCAGAAACAAGAAATTTTTTTAATCCTCCTGATGTCGGAATGTAGTATACATTGTAGTTTTCAAATTGTAGTTTTTGACGAAATTCGTTTTCTTGAAGGTTCGTACGTTTTCGAAAAGATTTCGTTATTTCTTCACTTTGTCAAAATATTCGCTAGGAGCATTTACCAGGAATCGGTTTCGTCAAAAACGACGAAAGTTTCGTGAAATTTGAGTACACATTTTTTACAAGCAATTTTCTTTATCAACGTAGCAGCGTAACAAGAATATATAAATTGTTCGGTAATGACCACCAATTATATATTATTTTATGTTTTTAGAATTTTTGTTAAGAATGAACTAAAGAAAATACAAAAATTTTGTTTTGCAAACTAATATTAAAGAGAAGAAGAAAACTCCGACCTGTCTTAATTGAAACCTGTCAGATCATAAAAGAAAAAGTCAATATTAAAAACATATGCAGTTAAACCCCCCTATAGTGAACCTTCAAGGGACCGAAATTTCGGTTCACTATAACTGGGAGCTCACTATATCCGCACCGCAAACAATTGCAACTAATTTTTCCATACTGCTCCCTTTTAATGCACGTTATTTAAATAAATGACCAGTAAAAAATATATAAAAATGATTAAGAAACAATATGTAGTAACTTTATTTTTTATTACTCCTCGTCTTGCGTACAAAACATTTAGTGATGACCTTTATTTAGGGATGGAAAATTGAGATAGAAGAAGCAAAGGGGCCGCTCAAAAAGTACGTACATCCCGAAGGAGGGGGAGGGGATTTGCTATTTTGTACGGTTTTGTATGATGGGGAGGGGGGGAGGTATTATACAAAGTACGTACATAAAATTGGGTGTTATTGTTTAAATAATTTAAATTAATAAATTATATTAAATAAATATTTAATTTTATTTAAAACATAATTATTTTAATTTTTATGACAAAGGGGGGTAGACTAATAAAATGTACGTACTCTAAGGGGGGGAGTAAGACCTTGTGTACGGTTATGTACGAAGAGGGGGAGGGGGTTAAAATTTCTCCATTTTTGTGTACGTACTTTGTGAACGGCCCCCAAACAAGAAAAAATGCTTATGGCTACATTCCACTCAATAAATAGTTTAAAAAATCGGTACATGTATTTTATGTAGAAATTTTAAAATTACCAAAAAATGTGGGGGAAAAATCATTCGAAGAGAGAAAAAAGTTCATAATATCCAATTTCCTCTCGTCCTTTGGTTCACTATATACACACAAAATAATATTATATGTGCATAGCAAGGCACGGAAGCGATCAATTCGCTCACTATATCCGGGAGTTCACTATAAACCATGTTCACTATAGCGAGGTTTGACTGTATACTTTCTATACAAGAAAAAAATGCAAGAATGTGTAAAACAACTCTAGATTTTATTCAGTAATCCGACTCTTTGTTAAGTGATCAGTTTCAGTGATTCAGAAACCCCTACAATGATCATTCTAACATTAGTAATAGAATTTACTGATTGGACGGGGGCAAAGCGGGGAAAAATTACTCTTTGCTATCTATGCAAGTGATATATTTCCGATGTAAATTTTACGTTTAATCGAATGAAATCACATCCAAGTCGATATATTTAATAGCTAAGTAGTTATTTCAGTTTCATATAAGAAAGCAAAATCTGATTCGTTCATATATATGCGTCTGGCATTGCTATCCTGGCAAAGCGAGGTATTGTTTCCAGGCAATCAATAGGAACGTCTCTATTCAAGTTTAAGAATAAACGTTTGAAGTAGGTACGTGTTTAAAAGTACATAACTGTATTTTTTATACAAAAATCTCTTATAACTNATACAACTGAATCAAAGCCTTCAAACAGTTGATTTAAGTAGACTAGTCAAAACATTAAAAGCTAATAGAGTAAACTACTCTATTAGCTTTTAAAGTTTATGTACTTAATCGATGTTAATGTACTTAATCGAGCTTACTGTTTTAAAAGGGTGGTGCAAAGCTGGTCAAAGTCAAACAAAAGTAGTTCATTATCTCCACAGTCTTTATTAAACTCCTGGGACGAGCTTTAACACAGGCGTTCATGTGTGTCACATATTTGCGGTTTAGACTGAAATTAAAAGTTTAAAGATTAGACTTGCAGCATTATGTCATTGAAAACAAACTTTCATGACTTATAATGAAGCGAACAGGAATGTGACTTAATACACCTTAAGATTTAAGGTCTGGTTTCTTAGGACAAGCGCCTTACAAAATACTGGTTTGTTAGCTCAAAGGCTGGTTTCTTAGAACTAGCGCCTTATTTGGGCGTCAGCGGAAAGTTGACGTAGAGCTGACGCCAAAAAAATACTTTTTTGTTAGCTCAGCGTGATCAGTCGGTCCAACGCAGACATTATCTCTCATTGCGCATGCGTTAATTACGTAAACAAATATTTATTTTGAATTTGTATTGATTTTGTTTTAGTCGACCAGTGTTTTAGAGAACAAATAATGACTTTGTCCAAGAAAAAACACATTATAGCTGAGCTAAATGAAGAGTGCTATGTTTAATGAAGAAGCTATGTTTAATGTCAAAATCAAAATCTTGGCTGATTTCAATGCGCTGTTGGATGTTGTCCGCCATTGCTTCTGTGGTTAACGTCACGTTGTAATCCAACTGCAGTTGAGTTGGACGGCAATTGTAGTTCAAGATAAGCGTTCGAAGACGTATACTATCAAACTCACAAATGGACCAATCAGAGGTTAGCGTTGATTTGCAGCTGACGGCGTCCTGTCCTAAGAAACCAGGCCTTCAGTCTTTGCTTTTTTTTTCAATTCCTATTATTAATTCACACTCTCCCTATATCTTGTTCAAATTTTCAATAGTTAATAAAATACTTTTTATTCATCCACTCATGTTCAAATAAATTTGTAGTGGATGACACTTGACGTTAATACAGTTTTTTTTAAATATTAATTCATTTATTAAATAGGGATGAGCGAAATACGAAACGAACTTTTCTGATTTGTTGAGCGTTAGTCATTGTTTTAAATTTTACTATAAGCAATTCAGTTTTCCTAAATTTCAAAAATAATATCAGTTATAATTTCTAATTTATAACTCTATTTGAACAAAGAATTAATCTATTGAGCACATTTAAATGCACATTTGAATGCAAAATTATTTTACATTCGCTGTGTCAGATAAATTCAATAAGGAACATCACGTGGTAGCAAGTGTGGTCCACGTCACCATATTCATACTTTTATAGTTGTCTGATACCACGCGACATTTTTTTGTAAATTCCTACTATTAGTTCATACTCTCCCTATATATATTTATGTATCTCGTTCAAATTTTCAATCGTTTATAAAATACTTTTACTCATCCACTCGAGTTCAAATACTATTTTTTAAACTTGTAGTGAATGGCACTTGATATCAATATAGTTTTTTCAAATATTAATTCATTAATTAATTTTAATTTTATACAGGAGAAAAAAATTTAATCATTTAATCAAAAGTAACTAAAATAAAACTCTTCTTTGCTGACCTAAGTAGGAATTGACTTTAGAAAATTTGTATAAAATTTCTTGGCTACTAAATATGTAGACTTAGGTGTGAATTCCTTGGAATAAGCGTAAAAAATTACACAGACAATATTTTATCACTTAGTCAGGAGTAAGTTTTACCCACTTTGTCCTCTCCAATTCGATGAATTCTAGATTGCTATAACGAGACTAAAGCTTACCTCGGATGAGGATATTAACTTTAAATATTCCTATTGGGCTTTAATCATATTTTTTAAACCTAATTTAAAACTTTCCCGTAACTATTTCTGTATTCAAATACACATGATTGAATGTAAGGTTTAATGGCACAAGTTTCACAAACGGACATGCTGTGACAAACAAAACGGATTCAAAACAAATTATAAGTACTTAAAATGTATACTACAATTTTTCCTTACCAAAACACGCGAAATTGATAAAACTCCACACGAAGCAACAGACGGATTCAATAAAGTCAATAAAATTAGATAAAATGTAAATACGATAAAACATGTGAAAACGTGAATAAAATCAGAGGAAATTGTAAATAGAATAAAATCTCACTTGTATAGAGTATAAAATACCAATTGCGCATAGAAACACACAAATGTCAGCATCATGAGTGTCACCTAACAGATCCTCCATAGATAAAAAAAAACGGTCAACTATCAGAAACGGTAAGATGATAAAACATGGTTAACAAACAGAAATTAAAACATGGATAACAAACAGAAGTTAAAACATGGGCAAATGGTTAAAATATGGTAAATCAAAATTTTTTTTGTTTGGAGTCATTTTAATAAAACCTTTGTGTATATTTAAAATACCTAAATACGATATGAAAATAATACCATAACATTGAATTTCATATTAATTTCACTTCCATTCAAAATTATAAAAATAAATTAATAAATCAACAAAAAAATATTACAAAGTTTCCTTTAACAAAATAGGATTTGAACAAAAATAAAATTATGCTGCAATGTTTTAAATTAATTAAATAGGGTTAAAATCAAAAATATTGAGAAACAAAATTTCGTCTTTATTTCCATCACCGAAATTTAACAATACTGGCTCAATGCTATCACCATATTAAATAAATGTCACGGAAACAAGTGTAAGATAACGCTAAAATTACTAACATATTCTTATCTTTTACAATAAAAATCCTATTTCAGGATAAGATATGAAGGACAAAAAAAGAACGTTGATTGTTCTTGCTTGAGTTATATAAGAAGTAAAATCATATAATAGAGTAAAATTGCACGTTGGTATCTTATCCCAAAATTATTAGTTTCACCATGCTCACACAAGATGTGTTATTTATTTATTTTTTTACCTTACACAGAGCATTAGCAATAATTTTAAAAATAAATATATCATTATTGCCTATTTTTTCGGGGTTTTCTGGTTTATAGCTTTAAACCACAGCCTTACAACTCAATAAAAGGGATACAGTGGCCATAATTTATATTTCAGTAATAATATTATTTCGTGTCTTTTATCTGACGGGAAAAAAATCGCTTCCTTGTTCTATTGACTCGCCTATATAGACTACAATAGACTATAACACATATATAGACTACAGCAGACAATGTTGTCGATATAGACTGCAATAGACCATGTAGTCCATACAGGCAATCTAGTGTTTTCTTTAAGTAAATGTATACCTTAATATACAAATACACATTGTTTTTATAGTGCCTCACATTTAACTATCTACACATGTATTCTTGAAACTAATATTATTTTAGGAGTAAAAAATATTTAAAATTAATTTACTTTAGGAATAAAAACTATCGTGTTTTTATTAACACTTTATCCACTACAGGGGCATACACTTTATTCTCGCTTCCGTCATAATTAGAAGGGGGCGGAATATGTGTTATATATTTGTATGTCATGAAAGTTGAAAGTAGCACGCAGAATTCTTTACAAATATTGGCACTATAAGAAAAGGTTGGCCTTCACTGTCCTGGAATAGGCCAGATAAGCAAATTACTCCGATACATATTGCAGCCACTGGTTATTTTTAATGAAGCGGTTTTCCTATTAGCGTAAATATTGCCTTATGATATCATAAAATTTTTGCTAAAAAGTTTAACATTCCATAATGTTTTTTTTTTCTTCAATCGTGCTGGATAAGATATAATGTGGCGGAAAACTGCTAGTACAAATTTGATACATTTATTTGATTGTTAAAGACAACCATTATGCTGCATTTAAAATTTTCAACATTTAAAATTTCAAATAAATATATGAACATTTAAACATTTAAAACAATATTTGAAATTTTAAATATTGATGAAATAACAGACTAAGAGTTTTAATACTCTTAGTCTGTTATCTGCACTTCCTTAATGCCTATAAAAAAATCGAAACATTTGATAGAATTAAACTTGCTAAAATACTAAAACTAGTTACAAAAAGTTAAAGTTCGTATTAAAAAAATATAAATTTATCATTCACACTCTTAGTGTGTATAATATAAACAGATAAAAGCTGATTTTGATAAATAATGCAGCTAAAAATATAATCAAAAACAACAATTTTATCTGAGAACTAATCAAAACGGAATTAATGTTATCGCTTCAAAAATCCAGCTCGATTGTTTTGGGTGTATAATTATCTCTTACTTTTTCATATGACGGAAATAAGCTTGCTAGATTGGAAAAAAGCTTCGGCTCGTGTTGAGTTCAGTTACATAAAGTTAACAATTACGTAAGGATTAAATTATGTAAGGAAACGATTGCTTCCTTTTTAAAAATTATCCAGTGTACTTGAATTGAGTTTCTGTAGATTTGATGCTAGTCAGTCTCATTCGTTGCTCTAGAATGGATACTCTGAGTTATATTTTCTTTCCTGCAGTCGTGATTCTTGTGTCACTTTGGCTGACAAAATCGAAAAAAGTGAAAAACCCACTACCCGGACCGAGGGGTTTACCACTCATAGGTTATCTTCCATTTTTAACAAAAAAACCATACGTAAAGCTTCATGAGTTGGCTAAAACTTATGGACCAGTATACAGGTTAGTTTCATTATTTAAAATTAAAATTTTCTGTACATTTATAACAGCTAGGAGGCACCACCCACTGTTCGCTTCACTCACAAAGCCCCGTGGTTGCTTTCCATTCATCATTAAAGGTCGATGGGGAAAAACAGTTTACGTCTATTTTTTACAAAAATTAAGATTAGATTGCCATCTGGGTCATTTTGAGGATGATTAAATTTCGGAAAATCAATAGCATGGCAAATCGATACGTCCACCTTCCTGAGAGTTATTACTCAGTATAAATGGACCATGCTGTGGTAAAAGAGTTCCTATCCGTGATCAAATTTGTTTGGGTTTTTTTTTCTCTCAAAATAAACTTTAATGGATATTAATCGTTTTTCCGCCTTCGTCTTCTTAAAAGCTGATAAGCTTCTTAAATGATGATTTGTTTAGAAAACATATAATAATCATTTTACGTAAGTGCATTTTATTAATAAGTAAATCATAACAAAATAAAAAAGACAACTGGATTTGAAAATTAATCAAATTTACTCAAAAAAAGAACAAAAGAAACGTTCTGCAGAAAATGCGTTAGAATAAAAAGATACAGAATATATGACACAATAAGCAGTAGCAAATGAGAAGTAATTTTCCTTGTTAACAATATACCACGATGACCTTACATCATATAAGAGTTCGTATTGGAAATAGTTTTGATCTTTTATCAGTTTTTATATTTTCTAAAATTTCGATTTAAATGTTAAGACTTATATCTGACAACATCGAACCACTCTCTCATTAATTATTTATTTATTTCCTGTTACTTTCGTTATTAAGTCAAGCTTGAGCTTATAAAAGGAAAGTTGTGAGAGAGATAAATTTTTATACAACAATGGTTAAATAATTATTTCTCAAAGAAAAAAATGCAAAAGAAAATTTCAAATTTTAATAATTTTGAACCAATAGGAATTTCGAAAAAAAAAACTATTTAAAGTTATAATTCAAAGTGGTCCATCAACACGTCAAATTTCAAGTCTGTAGTTGCATTTCAGAGAACAGCAGATCGACCAACATGTTTTCTTTACTACAAGTTTAGCAGCTTGAACTTGTATTCTTGATCCAATAACCGAATCGTACTTTTCCATTCCATCGAATTCCTTCTACATTTTTCAAGTTTCTTAGACTTGTAGATTTTGAGCAGCAAAGCAAAATGTAAAGCAAATCAAATGTAAATAAGCAAATATGGGCCGTTCAGCCTGCAAATTATAAGATATTGTTTATAATTGTACACAGTAATTGCATTTCTACTGCTCGCAGAACGACCCGTATGCTATCATTTTTCAACAAATTTAACAATTCTCTAACTAATTATCGACTCTTTACAGTATCCCAGTACACTTTTCTATACACTTTAGTGAATTCAAGCTTCTAAGTCTTATATTTTTTGCGAGTAAAACAAAATGCAACTTTTTAGCGAACACCCAAACAACACCAAGAATCCAATTTCGTAGAAAAGAAAATTGAATGTTTATTCAGAAAAAAGGCGTCTTTCAGTCTGATTTCGTAACTGAAAATGCAGTCAGCACTAATTAACATATTTGAGATTACCCCCGTTAATCATTAAGATTGAGTCTTAGTGCGTGAAGATCCGATCATTAGATCAAAATTTTAATTCAGTTAAATCCGAATACTTTCACATAATTAACCAAACATTTAGATAGCTAAACAAATTGCGCTACCCAGTTAACATTGCGTAAATTAAAACTATAATAAATCACATACGTTTTGAATTAACAGGAAAATTAAATGATGGTTTTGGTGCTAGGTATCTTGTAATTATTAAGTAAATATTCAATGTATAATTGACAAATCATAATTTTTATCAAATAATCATGACTACCGTCATGTGGGGCTACTTTGTGCAGGATTTCGCAGTTTTTGAAGTTTGACAAGTAAAAAAATTATGCTAATTCAAACTTTAATAAAATTTATCGATATTATATTCATAACTGGACTCAGACGAGTGAATTTGATCAATATTGGCATTATTTGTATGTAATATTTGCAAATAATAAGCCAAAACATACCTTGCACAAAGTAGCCCCCAAGTGGGGCTACTTTGTGCAGCGATAGGAATTCAGTTTAATAATCATATTTTTAGTAAAATATTGATATAAAATTGTTAAAAAGGTTAATTGTTAACATTTTTAATAACAAAAACATCAAGATGTGTGAAGATATTAGTTTGAAAATAATTTTCAGGGTTAAAAAACCATTTTTTATAAAGACTTTTTTCTTAAAAAGAATGTTTATTTCAAAACATTTGAGTTTAAACAAAAATAAACCATATACATTTTTGAACATTGGATTAGATGAAATTTCAAGAATAATAATTATTACATATTCATTAACATTTATAATATAGATAAATTTGAACATAACATGCTTGAATGAACATGACAGAATTTGCTCTTCAGTTTCTGTCAAAACCACCTGATGTCCTATAAAATATATTTTTATGTGTTAAATTGTTTGATTAATTCATTGAAAAATCTTTGTAGAAGAGAAATAATAGTTTACCAGCACGTTTCATGTGTTTCTTGTGAATTTATCATGGATAATATTTCTGTGGATTTTGTACTTCCGAGAAGCTTCTGAAATCGACATACCACCAGCAACTGCTTGCAAACATTGTTGCAGCTTTTCTAAAGTGTAATCACGATAGTTTCTCGTTCCAGGTATTTTTTTTATAACGTCTGACCATTTTTCTGTCGAGAAAAAAAAACGAATTTAACTTTTCACAAAGTAGCCCCACAGTGCATTTTTTCTCATTTTCAGTTTATTTGTTATTAATTTTCAAAATTTTTTAACGCTAACCTGATATAATTGTTTATTAATATATAAATAAAAAATTTTGCACTTATGACAATTGTTTTATCAACGGGTTTGCATTTCACAGCTAAAGCTTCCACGCACACTTTTCGACGTCCGACGTTCTCGTTAAGTTGTTGACATTGGATAAACAAAACACACTCTGAGATTATTTTAAAATTCGAAAAAATGTTTGTAGTAATAGAAGTTACTTCTATCTTCAAATTCCACACATTTTTAACGTGAAAAAAACATAATACTGAATAGCAGCACTTGAAAAGTACCAAATTCGAATTTGCACAAAGTAGCCCCACATAACGGTACTGAATTTAATTTTCACTTTTTATTTGCAAATGTTAAACAATAACTGCTACAATCATTGTACTCTAGCACATCTAAATTATTTCAAAATTTTTCTTTTGCAGTGTTCCCCTAGGTAGTCGGAATGTTGTGATATTGTCAGACTTCAAAAGCATAAAAGATGCGTTTTCTAACGATGTATTCATGGGAAGACCGGGAGATTTACCATTTGAACTAAGTGAAACATCCCGAAGTAAATTGCATTTAAATATTTTTCTTCCTTATAAAAAAAATAATCCTTAAATGAATGTTACTGTAAATAACCAAAATTTGTGAATGTTCACTTTCTTCTGCGTATGTGACACAAACCAAATACATCTGTAAAATATTAAAAAATTAAATATTTCGGGAATATTTATAGTTTTCTTGTCAAACTATCACTGATGTGTGTCGATAAGAACATATATGCTATGAGGGAGATCGAAAAGATAAGCCAAAGTCAATACCAGGCAAATGTATATTGTTGTTGTTTCTCATCCCCAATGGTCTAGCTGAGCTAGACCAGATCCATGAGTCCATTCACCCCCAGGAAGTCAAAAAAACAAGACCGGGTTGCACAAAAAATCCTCCTTTTCAAAATCCACACAGCTAAGGAGGTGAGCCGGGCTGGCTGCACTGGAGAAACATTTGTTGCAGGTGGGATAGATCTTTCGCTGTTGTTCATACCTCATGCACTTTATGTGGCCACTGATGAATCTAGTGAATGCGGTCTGATCGCCTCTATTACCTTTGAAGATCAAAGCGCGACCCGGCTTATCCACAGAGTACCAGATATGTACTGGGGGAGTATTCCAGATTAGCTAGACACCTTGCTTTCTAATGGAGTGAATTTCGGAGGATGTGAGTGCCAAACTTTCCGGCAGAGGTTGGCAAGAAAGGCAAATGTATGCTTGTACTTAACAAAAACATCAGTTCTAGGAATACTGAAGAAATGTATACTTGGCAGGGGCACCTAACCTTAAGAAACATAAGTGTAATGAATACCGGGCAGTGACATGTAACCTTAGAAAAGCAGCAATGTAGGGAAAACCGGGTAAATGTATACCGGGTAGTGGCATTTAATATTAAAAACATCCGTAAAATCCAAAAATACAGAGAAAAGCATGCAAATCTCCGAAACACTCACCAATAGAGACTGGTGAATGTTTTATTTTATTTTGTTTTATTTTATAACCGTCGTTGAACAACCGCCCCCAAATTTTTGGGTTTGCGACTACTAATGTTCAATTCCGTAGCCCTCTAATTTTGAACCCACTACAGAAGACAATGGAACTCTTCGATCAAGTATGGGGAGAAATATGCTTTCGAGGGGGACTTTTGGATGAAACTACCCCGCATGTGCGTTACATGGAGAGGAAAACCACAAAAATCACCCATGACTGACGGCAAAGGGAATCTGACCCACGATCCGTCTACTACTGAGGATATTTTACGTCAGCACGGTGGTCTGTGCAAGTGGGATGCGGAATTCGTATCGAACAGCCATCGAGCCTGGTTCACATTATTGAAAGGCGGGAGCTCTATCCTCTAAGCCAGAGGTCGCCAAAGTGGTCTATATAGACCCCCAGGGGTCTATTTAACGAAAGCGGGGGTCGATCTGAGACAGGGGGGCGAATGGGGGTCGATCCGAATCGGAAGGGTCGATTGTAGGTTTAAAAAGAAAACAGTTCTCAATACGCAAATCACACATACCTAATTAAGTATGTAAAATTTGTGAATTTTTTTCATAATTGACTCAATATCAGTTTCTTTATAAAACATAAATTAATAAACGTATATTTATTGGGGTGAAACAAGTATTTACGTTCCACCGCGCAGTGGCACGAACTCAGCGCAGTTTATAAGTCATATGCACATGTGCGCTTGTCTAAATGTCACGTGTGACGAGCATTGACGTTACAAATGCAAATATCATACGCAGTTTCAGCTATCTTTGCAAACTGTGTTGAATATTTGCTGTGTCATTATTAAAACTTTTATAGTTTTGGATAATTAGTTATTGTTTCGATAAAACCATTCGTTTGGTTTAGATATCAATTTTAATTATCAATGCACAAAAAAGAAGGTAAGCTTTAATAATATGGATTAGTACAGCCCGCGGCAAAACTGTAGCACACTTTGTATTTTTTTACGAAAATTACAAAATTGACCAATTTTTGTAAATTTCAATATTAATATATTTTTCATAAAACTATTGTTACACAATGTACTATTACTTTAATAAAAGTTTAAAGTCATAAAATAAATGTACAAACACAGTATCTAATAGAGTTTTATTTTAATTAACAGAAAATTACATTTGTAGGGGTCGATGGAGATTTCGAAAAATTATACAGGGGTCGATGATCAAAAAAGTTTGGCAACCCCTGCTCTAAGCCATCACGGCTTGCTAGTGAATGTTGATATTCCCCGTTGTAAGTGAGAAATTGGGATATTTAGTAAATATTTAGGATATACACTGAGTGATTTTGCGGGTATTGGCATTTGCCTATGAAAGTCGCCATTTTGAAGATCTTTCACTGTGAAATAAAGTAAAAGTCAAATAACTTAAAGAATAAAACTATACTGTTAAAAAAAGTGACAACGCTTTCATAACGGCAATGATGCGCTTTTGTCCTGCCAACTGCGATCTTTGTTTAAAATTACCCCGCAGCACTAAAATTGAAATAAAAATGCAAATTCCTTTAAAACTTGCTTATTTCACTTTAAAAATAATTATCAGCTGCAATCAATAGCTATATTCATTAATGCAAACAATAGAGCATATAAATTGTTCCAGGAAGACGAGTTATGTCGTTCGTCGTGATAAAAGATTTTACCCATTGACTGTTCTGCACGTAAAAAGTCGTAGTTTAACCTGCAATCTTTACCGCATAGCAAGACCGATTTTCTTTCTTGTTATTAGATAAAGAAATAGTGAATTAGTGCGAAACAGTCTCCCAATTTTGACAATTCCCTTAACCGCCAGTGGGTTAATCGTTTCACAAAATAATGGATGCTAAATTTTGGGTAAAAAGTTGCCACAAAAAATGGAACTGCTTCAAGCCACCACTGTGGATCGAGCCCAGAACTTTACAATCTTACCTGAAGGCCATCTCAGCTCGAATAAAAACTCAGACCTTTAAGCAAAGCTTATGATGAAATATTTAAACTTTTTTTTTCTTTCGTGTTTGACAAAATAGTTTTGCAGTCAAAGTTTGATCTGAACTCAACAGTTTCTATTAAAGTATGGCACCGATGGTCAGAGGCTCTGTTGGCGAAAAGATATTTGTTTATATTATTGCTTTTGCAATTCCGTTTTTTGAGTAAAAAAATAATATTTTAGGTATAAATAATTGTTTTATTCAACAAAATGTTTCTTTTCCAAAAAAATAAACAAATGTTGCTATTTGTATCTTCTTAAAAACGAAAAAAGAATCTTCTCAATTTAATATTAATACATAACAACATAAACAATATTTTAATAATAAATATAAGTACAATGAGCAAAGTAAAAAAATGGAACACTTTAATTGGAATCAGCGGCTATCTGCCACTATCAAGGTTGCAGTTACTTTAGGTTGAGTTATAGATACTGTGAAATCATTTAATCTTATTTAGAGTCATATTTGATTGAAGAGTAATCATGATAAAATCAGTAAGACACCGTTGCAGTTTTTTGTTTTTACCATTGCTAAATCATTACCATTAGTAAACAAATCGAATTACCATTGCCAAAAAAATGTTTGAATCATTCCAGGAAAACTGCCAGAGTTGATGTCTGGTTTACTTCTCGATAGAATCGCAGCAAATATTGAGGCGTTAATGTCATTTTAAGCGATTTAAATACGCTGCCAATTTTACAAGTTGCACGAAAATACCCAGCAACTGAAAAATTTTGAATTAGTAACTAGAATTTTTAATCACCAGAATAATTTATACAGTTTACTGGGTTCCTTCAAACAATACGAAATTACGGCCAACACTTTGAATCCCTCATTTTTTGTCAATAAAATGGATTTTGTCAATTTGCGTTCAGTACGAAAGAAAATAAAACATTACAAAGACCTTTGGGACATCGCAAATGCGATCCCAAACTGTTTTATTTTGCACGGTTTTCCCTCAATATCACTTAAATTTATTTTGATGTCACTAACTGTAACATTTAAATCTTGACTTTTTTTCTATAAAGCTATAATCAAACGTGAAAAAAATCATAAATTGAACTTAATACAACTGCATTCTTAAGGGTTCAAATTTACTAGCTGTTGTAATCAAAGAAATATTTTTATGTGCTTAATATATGATTCAGCTTAAATATTTCTTGAAATATTTAGAAATTTTGTAATGCATGAGTAGTAAATAATTTGTTTATGTTTTTTAAACAGAAAGTGGAGCAATGTTAGGTATGCCTTGGAAAGAACAAAGGAGATTTTCTTTGCACATGCTTCGTGATTTAGGTTTCGGTAAAACTAAAATGGAAGCTCATATGAAAGTTAGTATGCATTAAACATAATATAATTTAGATTTCTGACAACTTTAATAATAATTATTATTACTAGCTAAAAAAATTTTTGTAAATGAAGGAGTGTAAAAAAATATTCTCTTTTGGGAAATTTTCTCTTTGACAAGTAATCAGTTATATTCTAGTAAATAATCAGTTATATTCTAGTTCCAAATATAAACGCAAGTGCAATTCATGTTTGGAACCACTATGTAAGTGAAAGGAAAAAAATATTGTTTCTCTATTTTTCTTTCAATTATATTAACATAGTTTCTTTTTTATGTTTTGGATATCTCCGGAAAGGTCGTGCCAATTTCATTTAGATTGTTTATGAAAGAGTATATTTATATTAGAATGATTTAGAACAATTGACTTGCATGCATATTATAAATGACGGATTAAAAAACGTATTGCTCCCAATTACAGTAATTAAAGACAGTAATCAACCAAAAACGCCCTAAATCAGCGAACTCAAAAGGCGTTGTGCATGACCTTGCTGTATTTCTTCGTCAACTCAACAAAAGTTATTTGAGCTTGGTTGAAATATTCTACCTCATTCACTATATTTATAGAATCTTGTGTCCTCAGATTTCCATCTCTACAAAATTCCCATAATGAAAAAAATCTGCAACTGCTTTGGTGGAGATAAAAGATGAAAAAGAAATAACAAGTTTTTCACCGAAAAACCTTAAAGTACGTTATTTTCAAGCCTTGCGAAAACGGTTGTGAAACAGAATAGTGTTTACACGGTGGTGGTAGACCATGGTGGTGGAACTGAATTTCACTTATATATAATTTAGTAAATATCGACCTCGGTTGTGGAATTGAATGGTGCTTATACACAATTTAAATGTATTTCGAAATTTAAATTTGGTGAGTTTTAATTTTCTTCAAAATCCGACACGAATTTCAAGACAGTCAAATATTTGTTTAATTTAATCGAAGTTCATTGCATTTAAATGAGCGCAGGGGTGAGAAGTTTTTATCTCTGTTAATTAGGTACAAAATGCTTACTGACTGCACTAAAAACATTTACTGACTGCTGATTTCTATTAAAAACATTTACTGACTGCTGATCCTGCACCTAGTTGTTCTCTATGTAGAGTCGACATAACTATTAAGCATGTTTTAACCAACTGATTACTATTAAAAACATTTACTGACTGCTGATCCTGCACCTAGTTGTTCTCTATGTAGAGTCGACATAACTATTAAGCATGTTTTAACCAACTTCAAACGATTTGAGCATTCGAGGAACAAACTCTTTGGCAGCTTTTTCCCTGATCTTAAATTCTTACTCAGTAACCCTATACATCACAATCTTTTTAAGTTTGTCAAAAAATAGAACTATACTCTCTATTTCAAAAATAAAGTATTTTTTAACCTAGTGGCTGGCGCAGTATAGCCCTGTCTGGCTCTTGTGCCAATAAACTCTAATCAACCAACCTCTATCGGCTGCACTCTGACGCAGTAACTCTTTGCATAAAATTCTCGTGTGGTCATAGAAAAGTGGCCACCAAGTTTACTTTACAGACACAAACTTTAAAGCAGAAGCGTTTTTTTTTCTTTATTTATTACAGTAATAGTAAAACTTTTGTCTTTTAGGATGAAATACTCGAATTATTTGAACGTATTGAAGAAAAAGATGGATCTCCGATTCCTACAAAAGATTTTCTCACTCCCAGTATGTCTAACAACATTGCGTCATTATTATTTGGAAAGCGACTCAAATACAATGATCCTAAAAGGCAGAAATTAGACAAACTCTTACATGAAGTGGGACGTCTGGTGGGATCTGTCATGATTTTCACATTTTTCCCGTGGCTTGCTGCTCTCTTAAACTTTTTCAATATCGGCAATAAAAAGAAACTGTCCAAAGCTTTGAGTGATATTAAAGCATACGTGAGGTAAGCAATTTTGAGTAAAAATCCACTCATCAATACGTATTATTCATTCAAGAAGTCATTCATATCCTCCTTTGACCCGAACTTTAAGTATGGCTTTAAGCATCAACACTCCGTGGATCTTGTTTCGATGTCATTTAACTTGGTGTAACATAAGAGCTTCAGCGAATATTTTTCTCTGCTCTGTAGCAATATCGTCAGCTTCCATTGCAGAACATACATTAATTGAATGCGACGGCATTACTATGCAATGACGAATCTCGGAATCATATTCCTGAAGTCATATCCACCGACATACCTAACCTTCAGGATTCTTAAAACTTAAAAGCCAGTTTAAAGAAGCGTAATCAGTCCAGAGCAAGAATCGTCTTTGTATAGATAAGGATGGAAATGTTCAACAGCTTTAACAATAGCGAATAGTTCTTTCCGAATTGTACAATTATTTCGCCCCGGTTTTGATAGAGATTTACTCCAGTAAGCGATGACTATTCTTGACCGCTGATTTCCTTGCACAGAACAGCTCAGACAGTTTCGTTGCCGACATAAATATATAAAATGAACAATTTGATGAGCTGGGGATATGCAGGAGAGGCGAAGATATTAAGGACTTCAATTATTCAAAAGATTTTATAGATTTTTCCCAAACTTCTGTCCACAGGAATTTCTGATTGGTCTCTGTTAGCTTGTGGAGTGGTTTTCAAGTAAGCGATCGTCGAGAAGTCCTTTAAGAATTTTTTGTAATCGGTGAAAAGCCTAAACAAACTTCGCAGTTAATGGACAGCTTCTGGACGACATCAGTTCTCGCACAGAGAAAACTTTTCGGGATCTGTAGTAACACATTCTGCAAAGATAATGTGTCCGCGATAACTAACTGCACGGTGGAACAATTTACATTTAGATTAGTTAAACTTAATATTAACTATTCTTAATTTCCTCGGATATGCTATTAATTCTCTTCATATGCGCGCCCTTCAATGATGATATCATTCAAATACATAAGAAAGAATCCGTAAGACAGTCTTAGTAAGTCCTAGTGAGAGCTCGAATTGAAAAACAACACCAAAGTTGAAAAACATAATTAGCTGGAGTTCTATTTTAAGTAAATTTGATAAATCTAAAAAATTGAATCAGAATGATAAAAAAAAATTATTTTTATACATAATTTTACAGAGAGGAATGTGAAGAACATGAGGCAACTTTAGATACTGCTAATATTCGTGATTTCATAGATGGATATTTGATTGAAATTCAAAAAAGAGCCAATGATGCCAATTCAACCTTTCACAGTAAGAACATTTTTTATTCCTTTCTCTTGAATAAAGATACACATTTTTTTAAAAAACGCATTTCTTTTTTACATTATCATTTTTCTAGCGTGAATATTTAAATAATTAATGATTGCATTCTGAAAATAAACTGTATGCATCGCATCAAACGTCAATTTTGTTTTATTTATTCACATGCTTGTGTACGTCCAACTTTTAGGCTTGTCTATTTCCAACTTATAGGTTTCATCTCCCTATTCCAAAATTTCAATTGTATAAAACTCTTGTACAATATGAGTAGTCGAAGGTGCTTCAAAAATTGATCTAGCCGATCCGACCAAGACTGTTTAACGTGAAGCTTGTGAATTTGAATATCACCGGATATATCTTTGTGATGTCTTTTTTTAGTTTGTGCAACATGTTCATCCACATGGCAAGAGCTTATTAGCCCTCTTTATAATAAGCATACGAGCCTGCATATGTATGTGTAACAATAAATAAAATAAAGTAGTTAAATGGCAGATATATTTTGCACTACTCTCCATCCAGTTTGTCACGTCCATTCACTTAACAAGATTGCGCAAGCTCCGTTTTGCAATTAAATTGCAAGCCACTTATTATCCCACACACTTGCGTCCAAAAGTTCTGCGCAAACTTCGACGAAAAAGGAGCTTGAAAGTGAAAAATCTCAATATTATTTTCCATGCATTATTTGTTCTATTATTTAGTCTAGTTAAAGCAAAATTACATAGCAAATCAAACTGAGTTGTGTGATTAATTTCCACTGGAATGTAGACTATTATCTTGTTTTATTGTAATTATTATTTATCTGCTATGTGCAATTATATAGAGATTTAATAGAGATTTTAAAACTTTTGTGAAAAGTTAATATTTGAAGAATGGTAAAATAACTGAAAATAGATTGTCTGCACATTAAGAACAACAACAAAAATACATTAAGTTATGCAAAGTTTCAAAAACAACAAAAGCATCGCGTACTGTTCAGAGAAAAATATTTGTATTTGCCGCTTCTTATTTTTAGTATTGTTAACTAATTTTCTATTTTTGATCAATTTTTTAAATTCATTTTTTAAGACCATTCAAAAATATTAAAAAAAATTAAAATTCTGCTTTAAACAATGACTTTATGAGCAAATTTAATAACTAGTTGTTTGATTATTTTTTATCAATCATACTGAATTTTTTTTATCAAAATATCAGCACTTTAAAGTTATCTATTTTTACGGTTTGTTACAGATGTAGCATTGCTTAAAAAAAGTAGAGTTAATTTTTTTTAAAATTTCCCAGAGGACGTTTTAGAAGATTTATCAAGACTATTCTTTGGCGCTGGTAGCGAAACTGTGCGAATAACCGTAGAATGGATGATTCTATTGTATGCAGCTTTCCCCGAGGTTCAAAGAAAGGTTCAAGCAGAAATTGATGAAGCTCTAGGCACAGACCGATTTCCAACATGGCAGGACAGATTTGACATGCCCTACACTGAAGCAACCATTTTAGAACTCATGAGATGGAAAAGCATCATTGCTTTAAATGTTTTAAGATCGTAAGAATTTTTCATAATTGAAATCTTCTTTATTCTAACTATCCTGTTATAAGCCTTTACTCATTAAAATATGAAGCTCTAGGTTAAAACTAAGCTAAAAGTCAAACGAATAGTTTGTAAACAGTACACATAAAAATTATTGTGCAATATAAACCAACAAGAAACAGATAAAACAGTTCCAGAATGTTACCCAAGAACACAGAATCAGTCTAGTTACCAACTAATATATTCCTATATTTTATCAATCATTGAAATTGACGTGAGCACATAAAGTCTAATAATCACAGAATTATACTCCAATCATAGAACTTTACATTTGAATCACACACTTCAAACAATTATCGAGTCTAACAATTACGGAATAAAACGTCAAACGCAAACTGTGACTCAGAACATTCAGAATCTGACAAAGTATATACTACCATAAAATCTATCAATCACGGAGCCTGAAATGAATATATGGAATCTATCAATCACAGAACCATACGCAAATTCTTAAAAACTTATATTCAAAAAGTCTTACACTTTAAACTATTCTAATTTCTAACAATTACAGGAAAGTTCAAATACAGAGTGTTATTCGACCACGCAGAATCTGACTAACTATCAACTGTCTAACAAATCGAAGTATAAGGTCAATCGAAGTATAAAGTCAATCAGTAACCGAATCTCAAACGAACACATAGAATCTAATAATGACCCAATCATATTCCTATTTTAAAAAAATCTAACATTTAAAAAGTCATATACTTTTACCACATTTGTAGAGCCTAGTAATAATAGAATCAAACGCTAATTCACAGAATTGTATGTCAATTGAATTTTATGTCTCAATTTAGTATACAATGTAAAATGCCTGTTTGTTAAATCAAGGAGCCTATAATTTACTCCCCAAAAATATGATATTTAAACGAAGGTCATGGTGCCGTATAGCCTTTTCTGGACTCAAGCGCTTAAGACTACAAGCTAATTAGCATATTGTGCTAGGTGAAAAGTTTATGTTTTCAATGCAATATTATTAAAACGCAATTTGAAATTATTTTCAAAAAGTATATAAGATGAACTTTTTTTCTTAAGTGACAACACACCTTGTTTACGGAGCTCGAGAATTATATTGCGCGACATGATTGGTTCATATACTTTTTTATACTTGCCTACCCAGCAGGGCATATAAATGTTTAATCAGAAATAAAATAAACTACAGATTATGTATACAAAATTTTGATGGAAATCCTAAAATACTTAAATAGATCAATGTAGAAACGATATCGATGCATCTTTTCCACTAAGACAAGCTCTGGTTTAACGTAAATAAGATGATGACCTTCAAACTTTGATGAATAGTAGGAAAGTAGGTATGTTAAGCCGTGCTCTCACCTATAATACTTAAATATGATAATAATACTTCTTTAAAATAAAAATAATGCTCTTCATTTTCAGCAACTATGCTTATTCATGCTCAAATCCATCAATTTTTATTTCTGCTTAATATTTTTTTAAATAATACCTAATACTTCTCTGCCTCTTATTTATAGTTAAAAGTATTGGTGTTAATGTAATTAGTGAATAGTGGAGGTGGCACCATTGTAGTATTAAGCATATTTTTGGCCGTGTAAGATACATCTTAATTTGTCATAAAAAAGGGATATTTATCTCAGAAAAATAAACAAATTCATTTGAGAGACATTTATTTATTACTTAGAGAAGATGGCCATACTTAGAAATAATTGAATAAATAAAGAAGTCCCTATAAAATTAAGACAATCATTTTCTTAACATCGATAATTTCTGCAGAGATAAAAATTCAGCGACTGGGACTGAGAGGCTGAAAGCCCCCAGTCCGAATACCAAGAATTCAAAATTAAAAGTAAAGTGAAATGTACCCAACGGACAGTTAGAAGCATGGAAGAGGTCCATGGATGGCGATTTATCGAAAGATAAAATAGCCAAAAACAAAGCCAACAGCAATATAGTAAGCAATATTGAATTTGAAAATAATTTGGCCCAAAGAGACTGCTAGAATTAGTACAACCATGTAAACTGAAACATTTTTGCAGTAAAAAATTAAGAATAGTGAGTTACATATTGTGGTTTTCGATTTATTTGCGACAGTGAATTAATGAGTTTTAAATTTGTAATGAAATAAAAAGTTAACCGTTACATTGATTGTTAAGAAAAGAATAAAATATTTATATTACCTTTTTATAAAAATGTAATAAAAATTAAATAATTGGTTCAATTTAATTATAATTCGATTAAGAGTGATTAAAAAAATTAATTTAAGAAATTAAAGAGATTTTAAAAGCTGCGAAATATGTAATGCCTATTATGACATCACAGTAATTATTTATCGTCAGTTTAATTATAATTCATATGTTTTCATTAATAGTAATTAAAAAATAAGTATGATCTTTTATAAATTTCATTCATTTCATGGGTGGCAGACTGACATGCCCGTATGTGAAAATGTTAAGATCTTTTGACCCCTGCTTGTTCACGTGATTAATAAATCCCTCATTTAAAGAATCGTTATCACGAAGCAAATCCACGCGTTGTCTACTATAAATGTTAATGACTATCCTCTACATGACTTTGAAACATTTTTTTTTATATCATATGTAAAGAGATTCTAAAGTTAATATTGATTTTACTTCTTTTTCAGTAATCTAGTGGACACAGAACTTAATGGCTACTTCATTCCTAAAAACTCATATGTGCTAGCCAATTTACATGCCGTAGCATATGACAAATCTCTCTGGGGAAACGATGTTGAAGAGTACAAACCGGAAAGGTTCTTAAATGAAGACAGAACAAAAGTTATAAAACCAGAATACTTCATTCCTTTTTCAATAGGTATGCAAACGAAATGACCGAAAATGTTAAATTTTAGAAAATCTCAAAATTGAAAATGTATGAAACCGAACATAAAGAGCCACATACAAATTTGGTTTGATGGCTCAACTCAACGTCAGTATAAAAAATATACTGGAACACCTAAAAATTTATTTTGAAGCTGTATTCAGAAAAATTCTATTATTCAATCATATTTATAGCATCAAATTTCTCCGAATCATGTCTTTGAGTCCTTCCTTTGGTCATGGCTGACCACAAAAGGATTTAAGGTTTCCTTTCTCCCTTTAAACGCAAAAGTGAGTTTAAGTCCTGTATACAGGCAAGAGTTCATTTTACTTGTTTATTTTTCAAAATTTAGTCAAAATTTCAAAGTTACAAGCCTATAAAACTGAGCATATATAGCTGTACATCCCATATGGTTTCGCTGTTCATCAGTAGAAAAAAAAAGTAATTTATAATAAAATAAATAATAAAACAAAAACTAGAACAGCACCTAAAAATTTATTTTGAAGCTGTAATCAGAATGAGACCATATTCCAATCATTGTTATAGCATCAAATTGCTCCAAATTGCTCCCAAATTGCATCTCTTAAACCTTTTATTGACTGACCAAAAAAAGATTTATGATTTAACTTCTCAATATAACGCAAAATGGAGTTAAAGTCCTCAGCAAAGTCAAGGGCTTTGTTTACACAGTCCATTTTTTTCCCCTCCATGATCAAAATTAAACGCCAATAAAACTGAACAGAATGAACAGCACATCCGATATAGTTTGACTGCTCAACACCTGCAAAAAATAATGTATAAAACAGCTCCCAAAAATTGGTTTTAAAACAGTTATTAGAATAAGTCTATTGTTCCATCTTAACACTTTGAGCATGCAATTGATCCTGTTACTAGCTTCCTCTGAGATACAAGATAAAACTTTTAAGAATCGTGAACCAAAAAAAAATTATCAGTTTTCTTAGAGTTCTAGATTCTTAAGTTCTACTGATGATTCTAAATAATATTTCACTTTACTCTTTCAGGCAAAAGACAATGCCCTGGAAAACCTCTAGCTGAAATTGAAGTCTTCCTCTATGTCGCAGCTACCTTACAAAAGTTTAAAGTATCCATACCCTCCGGTAATAAAGCTGATTTGGAAGCCGTTTTAGGAATCGGTTTACAACCAAAAAAACAAGATATTGTATTTGAAAGTCGAAATAAACTTAGAAACTATTGAAAACTGTTTATTGTAACTTTATTTTTGTTTGAAACATAGAGGGTAACAAATGATAATTTTAATCACAGAGTTTAGGGTGAATACTGCACTCGCTTTTTTTAGTTAAATTTTAGTTTTGTATAAACTGTTTAGTTTTAAACATGGTACAAAAGTCTAAAACTGTCATTTATTCGCATTTGGAGGGAATGGAATTAGTAAACTTTTTATTTAAAGAAAATTTTAAAAATTCAACAATTTTCTTCAATTCGCAGTTGTATGAGTTATCTGTTTCCCTTGTAAGGATTAGTTGTGGTATTTATAACAGTTATCCCATTTGAAGAGATTGGTTTCCACACTTGTAGGGATTAATTGCCATACTTGTAAGTGTTAGCAGTCATATTTTTAAATTTGACTGCTATCCCAATTTTAAAAAAAACGAGTGATGAAATATGGTATAGACATCACACACTCAGAATATGCAAAGAAAAAAAAGTTATCAAATCGTAAATAAATATTTGGAGAAAAAATTAAAATACGCCAACTAATTTAACTGAAAATTGCTTGGGAATGGTGGCAAACAGAAAAAGTACTCTAAAAATCATCATTATACATATGAACTGCTGCTACTCATGCTGTGGCAACAATTACTTGCTATTTAACAACGATAATATTTGAATAAAAAACTTCATTGACCTCAAAAATATGCAGATGGAAACAAAAATCTACATGTTTCAAGCACTCAAAAATAGATGCCCGTTCTCAAGACTTGCCAGACGTGAATAAGAAAAAACAAAAGTTTAAACTAACATAAAGTTGCCAATGGAAGTTATTTTTCATACGGACAAAGGAAAATAAAAGTGAGAAACGAAACTAAAAAGGCAACAATAGCCGAGAGTGGAATGCTCTATACTTATTTATCGATACTGTCATTTGTTGGGTACGAGAAAGTCTCAATAGTTGCTTTATTGCTCTGGAAGTAAGCGTAGTGAAAACTGTGTTAGTGTTAGCAATAGAAAAAGAAGCGCTCAAAGAGCAAAAAGATGGTCAATTTCCTTGTTGCTGAAAGTACTAGAACACGTCACAATGTTCATATTCATGGTCATAAAACTCATATTTACACGAAGGCAAAGTTACAAAATACAATAAAATCCTAACAACACAAATGAATCCTAACAGACTAATTTATTTAGATTAAACACACATTAGAACGGACAACGAAATGAAATGATCAAGTACACTCACGTTGACGTCATGAAACTTTAGTAGCTGATTGGTTAAAGAAGGAAAAACTTGGATTAAAAGTAGAACATGCTTTACTGTCATTCAAGGGCTTAGACCAAGAATTTGGATGATCGTTTACTCAATCCAAGCTCCAAGCAAAACAAGCTTCCATCAATTTCAATTAATCTTGGTTTAAGAACTTGGACCGTATAAGCAGGCCTTAAGTCTAAAAACTCCGGAACTGGTAATCATGAAGAAAACAATAATTTACACGGAAAATGAAAACAATTGGTTTTGTCGGTAACGTAATTTGAATAAATTTTAATTAAAGATAATTTTTTGCACCCAAAGCATTAAAATCGAACACCCAAAACTTAGAACAAAAATATAATAAATTTAACGATTTCGAAATACTTTATAATTAAATTTCTATTATATTTTCAATCTCAGATAAACCAGACATATATTATATATACTTCAATTTCAATTAAAATACTTGAGAGTTCAAAAATTTCACTATTTGCTTTTGATATAGGTTTTATTTCGAAATTTATCTTTAATATAAAATATTATACAATTATACTAATGCAAAATCTTTTAGTTCATAGCCAGGAATTATTTATTCATCAATTACTTATTTATCTCAGAAATATTAAAACATGAATCTTCAAATATTTAACAAATAATACGCTGATTCCAATTTATTATATCCAAAACGGAACGGAACAACGCAAACATTTAATATTTATTCAATCGAAATCAAGTGGTTCATCCTCAACCGAAACCGAGACTTTTAAGTGTCTCATAACGCTACATAAAGGCTGAAGAAAGAGAAAGATTAAATTCAATTTTAGAATTTAAGAAATTGATGTATAAATTATTTAAACGAAATTAAACTTTTAAACTAGACATCACTACAAGAGCAATGCCGATAGAGGAAAAAGGAACCCTTTTACGCGAAATATCTAGCAACTTTACTCTACGAAATTATAACATAAATTTATTATTATGCAAATTAAATTATCACTTCGAATTATTATTATTAATTACAAATTAATTTGTTTCGAACATTAAACGTAGTTACTTCCTAGGCATACAACTGCCTGCTATATAATATAAATAAAATAATTTGATGGCTTAAAATTCCCTGAGCGTCACAAGCACGTGATCTATTCTTAATTGCTTGACTAAAATGTGACACTAAGTTGAGTAAAAAAGCAAGACAGAAATAACAATTTTACTTTGGATTCAAAGAAATATGAAAACAAAATTAAGAATGCACAAAAAATTATTTAAAAAATAGCAATTACAGAAATTAAGAAAAAATGGCTATTTTAAATAATAAATATGACATATAATTGCTCTTTCACTATTCAGCATTTTTATTAAAAAAATACTGTTTGAATTCTTGCATTCATACTCATGCCACTTTATTCTACTCTTAAAGAGGCGTTTTCCAAATGGTGTTCCACTGAACCCTAGGGTTCCGTGAAAGAGTTGAAGTGGTTCCGAAGCTAGTGTTTCTATAACCAGTAATGAATTTAGATCCAGCCTATAATTCTTTACTTATTTAATTTTTTCGTTGCCTTTACGAAATTATTTCTAGTGAAATGGCAATTCAATAGAAATAGCAATTTTTAAAACAAAATATATTTCTAATAACAATATATTGCAATAATAACCTAATAACAATTTTTCTTATAACATAAAATAAGCATTTATAAAATACTACATTAGTATTTCCAAACGCAATTTTCAAATCAAAATAGAATAACTGAATTTATTTTTTGATAAAGAAATGTTTCCCTAATATAATTATTTTCAATGTATTAAGCCGTTATTTTGAGTTTTCATTTCTAAGTGAACCATAATTCTGCTTACTTTATTTATTTTCAGCTTTTGTAAGTACAACAAAACAAATTCATGGACTGCAAATTTAATGGTCGGACGTGAAACGTCAGTTTAAGATTATTATTGATAAAACGATGAATTGATAAAACGATCCTCTAATTATATATTTTAAAAAATATTCTTTCATACGTTATAGAGTTTACAATTACTTGAAGAAACTTGATTTATGAAGTCAGGGTTCCGCAAGAAGAATGTTGATTATTTAGGGTTCAGTAACAGAGAAATATCGGGAACGCTACTTTAACGTATTAATTATATAAAATACGTAGTTATATAAAATACGTTGATTGACTCACAACGAAAATACCAGAGAAATTTTATTTCCTTCCTCAATTATTTTGGAACGCAGATGTCCATCACTAAATATATATATATATATATATATATGGATGGGTGATCGTGTAAAGCTAAGGGTGGCGGCGCTAGTGGTAAAATTGCTCTTTCCAGACTTCCGGGTTACTGCTTCCGATATATTTTTACGCCGCAGATTGAAAAAACGCGCCATCATATTATTGCATCATATCTTTTGCANTTTTTTTTTTTTTTTTTTTTTTTTTTTTTTTTTTTTTTTTTTTTTTTAAATAAAATGTTGTTTGTTATTTTTTTTACTTATTATTTCCCACCCAGCATTTTTTCATATGTCTATAATTTTTCTTTGTTTTATTCTTCATTTTGAACTTATATATATATAATAGAATTTTTTTTCATTCGATAGTCAACAATGATAGTCATATCACGTAAAAATTGTCTACGTTTCTTTTCATTGTAATTCATATCTATTCAAATATGGCGTAAACATTTTCAATTGTCTTTATATTTTTTTTCCTTTATCGGATTTGATAAAAGATTCCAAGATAAAAGATTTTCAATTTGTGCACATTTTAAAAGTCGGCTACTTCTTAAACATATTAAACACAAACCCTCCAGTTTGCTAAAATGGATACAATGACCTTAGTATATGTAGCGGTGGTAGTAATTCTCTGTTCAATTTTGCTGTCGAACTTTAGACAAAACAGAAAATCGTTGCCAGGACCTATAGGATTACCAATTGTAGGATACTTTCCTTTTATGACTAAAAAACCTTACATAAAGCTTCAACAATTAGCTGAAACTTATGGACCTATATACAGGTTAGTTATACCTATTTTTTTAACTATGCGGTATATGTGAAACATAAAAAAAAGACTCACGATAAAACGATTTACAAAGCATTTTTTATTTCAAAAAAAGCTCAAAAAATGTTAGCAGGGTCGGCCCCAGGGTAGGGCGATCCGGGCGGCCGCCCGGAGCTCAATGATCTAGGTGCGCCAAAATGATAGTTGACAAGATTGAGAGGCGGCAGGTGGAATTTATCATTTTTTATTTCTAAGCACATAATTCAAATAAAATAATATATTTAAACATTAAGACAAAATCTACTTGAATTCAATTCAACATGACAAAACCACTCAACCACAGACTTTAAAGAATTGACAAGTTTTTCGGTCCGTGGCAACACGACTGTACAGGAAACAACAATTTTGAAACCAAGAGAAACAAAATCTAACAGCCCTTTTTAACTGCATATAGAAAGGAAGTAGACTTAAAACAATGCATTATTTGCCACTAGACTTCGGCTGGCACGAAATAAAATAGTTTGTTTAAATTGTTAGTGCAAAAAAGCTTTAAAAAAGTGCTTGTGCAAATTGTCCAGTGCGTTTGGCTTCTGAGAAGGTAAGTGTTTTAATTTTTGTTCTCATTTTTAAAAACGAATAAAATCCATCAGACATGAGCCCAAAAAAAGGATGGGGGTAGATTTCAAAAATTAGAGTTTAGATCAAAACATGACTTGTGTGGTATCAAATGAAGGGTAATTGAGTCTGGAATTGAATAAAATGCATTTTATTTTTTTAAGCCAGTGGCGCAGAAGGGGGGGGCGATTTCAAAAATTAGAGTTTACATCAAAAAATGTCTTGCGTGGTATAAATTTTTTTTTTGGCCAATGGAGGTACCTACAATGAAGGGGGAATTTGGTGTTAATCGTGTGAGCTTAGATGCCCATAAATTGGCAGAGTATTTTTCATTTTGTTTGTTTTAGTTTGTCCTTCGTATTAAAAAAAATTGGGTAGTTATATATTACAAATATAAAAATATAATGTAGGGAGTACACTCTAAAAACAGTACCTCTTATATAAAAGGTACAAGCTAAATGTACCCTTTATTTTCTCGCGTAAGAGGCACATAACTAATGTGCCTTTAAAAATGACAGGCACCCCACGAAACTAAAGGCACCAAAGCACGTTTTTGTATGAGGGCCCGGATGAACCCGTTCAAGACCTCAAACAAAAATATAAAATAGATTTTTTTTCACACTATAGATCAAGCAATAAATGCCTTGGAAACCAGATATAATTTGCTGAATACTCACAGTAATTATTTCAGCTTTTCGTATAATATTTTTGGTCTAAAAGACATGCCCAGAAATGAGCTACTGGCTCATTGCAAATATTTGGAAGTAGTTTTAACTGATGGAAATTCAAGCGATCTTAACGCCCTGGAACAAGCCGATGAAATAAGCATTGTTTCGTCATTATTAACAAAAAAGGAAACCCCCGTTGAAGTTCTCAAGTTTATCGCTACACTTAAATTCGCACCAAACCTCAGCATAGCATTAAGAATCCTACTTACATTGCCAGTCACTGTGGCTTCAGGGGAAAGAAGCTTTTCNAAGATTTTCAATTTGTGCACATTTTAAAAGTCGGCTACTTCTTAAACATATTAAACACAAACCCTCCAGTTTGCTAAAATGGATACAATGACCTTAGTATATGTAGCGGTGGTAGTAATTCTCTGTTCAATTTTGCTGTCGAACTTTAGACAAAACAGAAAATCGTTGCCAGGACCTATAGGATTACCAATTGTAGGATACTTTCCTTTTATGACTAGAAAACCTTACTTAAAGCTTCAACAATTAGCTGAAACTTATGGACCTATATACAGGTAAGTTATACCTAATTTCTTATTTATTTTTAAATTATGTGGTATATGTGAAACATAAACAGAGACACACGAAGGGACGGTTTACAAAGCATTTTTTATTTCAAAAGATTTCAAAAAACGTCAACTTTACACTCACCCTCTAGGGAGCTGTGTTTTGAAAAATTAATGGAATAATATGAATGAACTTTTACTTTTGAATACGCCTTAAGCCAAGCTAATTTATACTTTTTTTTTAAATCTAAATTCTAACTCTTTTTACAGAATTCGCCTTGGAAGTCGAAATGTTGCTGTGTTGACTGACTTCAAAAGTATAAAAGAAGCATTTGCTAGTGACGCGTTTATGGGAAGGCCACCAGATTTACCATTTGATATCAGCGAGGCAACTCGAAGTATGTCACTTTATTTACTCGTGGTGTTTCGCAAGGAACCTTCCTTAATATATATATTTAGAAACTTGTGGAAAATGAAATCACACAAGTATACATAATTTGTGTCGTAAATATTTCAAGGAGGAAGAAACAAAAACGTTGTCAATGTCTAATGAATCATTGTTGAAAAAATTCTGGAATGGGGTTTTTCGGCGAAACGGAGAAGAGTCGTAAAGGCTATCATTCGAAACAACTACAGGTTAATCAAACTGGTGTAGTGATTCTTTGTCCCTCAAACTTCTTCCGACCGATTTCGATAACTTTGTGTTTCTTCCCTTCTTGAATATTATATCTTAAAGTGCACTCTTTCCTTGCTTAATTTTTGCGAAGGGATCTAAAAATATGAGTATACTAATGATGGTGATTACCAAAATTCATCATATTAAGCATGCGGCTCAAAAGATTTTCTCACCCAAAGCTTAGGTTATGCGATTAAGAAGTTCAATTACAAAGTGTATCATAATAAGTACCCCTGAAGTCTGAGTAATAAAAAAGAAAAATATTCCAAAATATTTTTCTTATAATTTTTACATTTCTATGCAGCAATCGACTTATTTAGTACATGAAAGCTCGCAGTTTTCCCCATTTTCATTCATAACTTTACGTAAGCGATTGAAACACTCATTACAGCTGACAGGCACTGCTTCTTCAAAAACTTAACCTCAAATCTTTCTCAAACCTTCTTTTTGATGATTAATCCTTTGGCACTTTGAATCTGGAACTGGAACTGCAATAATTTTACGGGGCGCCTACACCGAAGGGCTTATCCCCAGTAGAAAAGTTGTCATTGGCAAAAGGATAAAGTACTTAAAATAAGGGCTTTACATGATGCTTAACTTTGAATCTCTGTGAGCCTATGCCCCAACATAAAATAATCAGGTGGATTTAAGTCTGGTGAAGGGACAGGTCACTCTTCTGTGATGGAATCAGACAAATTACTTCGACATCATATCAGGACCTTTTTTGATTTGTGGGCTGGTGCTGTATCTTGTTAAATATGATATGATTCCCTCCTAATCAATCAAATGCTTTTTCAATACTTGTTCTATGTAGTTCTCAGCGTTGATTTTAACACCAGGATCAATAAAAAGATGTGGAAGCTTTGCTTTTTGTGAAATCACACCCCAGACCATCACTTTCAATGCATTTTGGAATCACTCTTCTGCCAACTTATCTTTGGGAATGCCGGCAAGTCTTGCTGCATGTGAATGGTGTGTTCAATACAAATGTAAACAAAAAACAAATCTCGAGCTCCTTACTTTCCCGGTTAAATGGTTTTCAGCTTCTAACTACATCTTATTGAATCAGATGATATTTTCAATAAGATAATTCTGTTTTCATGAGAAGAAATAAACATAATTTCTGAGCCGAAATCTGCATCATATTGTATTTATAATATTAAGTAATTCCGTTGAAAATGCGCGAATTTACCAAAATTTGCGAAAAGTGCTTATTTATCTTCTTTTGACTTGTTTATTACTATTTATTCAGAGTGCAAACAGTGCACCGTGCATACGTTTGTTTCGGTATTTATTTTGAGTAGCGAGACAAGCTTAATTTTCAAATTATCATTTAAATTTAAATTTCAAAGATAGTGTGGCGTAACTACCACTGCGATTATTAAACATCAATTCACTAGTATATAAGACATGTTAACTTGATTTAATCTAGAGGTACCTTCTGAAAGATGAAAGCTGGCATTGTCTAATAATCTTTCCCCACAATGGTGACCTACGGACGTGATATGATCACGATTACTTCGGTGGATGGTCCACATTGAACAGATGACTTGTTATTTGTGACTGCGTCATAGTCCATCTAGATCTGTTGCTACTCGGTCTCATTAATATACAACGGGATTCTGCACTCTCGACTGCTACCAGCAACACATGAGTAATCACACACACACAACCATGATCTTAATACAGCTCTCATGACTAAAGTTCAAAACCCGGTGACCTTAATCCAGCTCTCCCGGTCTTTCACAAATACAGCAACTAGTGGTATTCGTTCATCGAATTCTGTCCCTGATAAAATTTTGGTGGGGGAGTATTGTGGCGTAACTGCCACTACGACTATTAAGCATCAATTCACTAGTATATAAGATATGCTAACTTGATTTAATCTTGAGGTACCTTTTGATAGATGAAGGTTGGCATTGTCTAATTGTCTTTCCCAACATTAGTATATTATTAATAAGGTAATAAGTGTTTTATAACGATTTTTTTCTTCACTGTACGATGTAAAACTATAGAATTGATGTTTTTTGAATGGTTTCAGTTCGTTGAGAATTCTGTTCACTGTTGATGATTTTTTTTAAAACACTTCAAGCAGATTAGCACGGATTGAACCTAATACGTTTTACGATTGATCACGTTCGTTGTCCTCACCGTTCTTTTGGCTCCCTCTCTAAGAAGAATTTAACAATCTCTAAGTGCTACTGTTCATTTTACAGTGAGAAAAACCCCATTTTGACACACACCAAACCCTTTTAATTTTCTGAAAGTTTTTTTTAGTTATCGTTTTTCATTGATCTTTGTATTAACTATGAATAAATGAAAAAACAAACAAATACATTTTGTTAAATTTACCAATGGAAAACCCAAAGCGTTGATTGAAGACATCTTTTTTTTAAAAAAACTGCATGTTGATTTTTTACCATTGTTAACTTAAATGCTCATTAATATTCAATTTTTCCTCAAAATGTTAGTATGCATGATCAATCACGCAGATCAGATTCTTAGCCATGCCAGTCAATGAAAGGTTAAAATAAAACAAAAAGGTAAGGGGTCTTTTACGAGAAAATTGTAGGAAGTACACGAGGATTTTAGTATTTATGTAATAATTACTTAAGAATACTGAAGCATTATGTGACGATCATGTTTTGCTACTTGTAATTTCGTTTTTTCTAACGACGCATTTTTCATTTTTTTAGCATTAAAATTAAACTACATATAGTATTTTAAAACATGAAATTCTAATTCGATTGAATCGAAGAAAATAATTTTGATTTAACTGCACACTAAATTTTTGAAAAAACGTAAGCTAGGTATTTTAAACGTTGACAGTGACGTGCAGAAGCGTTTAAACGTCTCAAAGGGACGTCAGAAAGTGGACACAAGGAGACCGTTTACATTGATGATCTGAATTCTACATAAGTCAGCGATTCAAAAGTTTTTTATTTCACAAAATTTAGGCTTTACAAGCAAAAGGTTTAATTAATATCTAGAGATACGGTTTCTTTCGTATAATTACGTTAAATTCATAAAGTCTTCTGATAACCATTAGTTAAATTAATAAAGAAAACCAACTTAAAAAGTTGATTGTTTTAATAAATTTGGATTCAAGAACTACTTGTTCATTTCAAACAATAAAACTCCATATGTTACCATAGCACCTGAAATGCTAATGAATAAACTCTTATCGATGATAAACAAATTTCCTCCAGTCACCTCCAAGTTCAATTCCTTTAAATTCGTGATTAAAGCAGAAAACACTTGAAAGTTATTGTCATCAGTCGCAAATTTCCACGAATACTCCAAGGCAATGGTCTTTAACATCTTACCATTGTTACGTACTCTAGAACCACTTAGAGTCAAACGGATAAAGCAAAATGCTCCAGTAACGGCAAACCAAACAAACAACACTTTCAACAAAAATACATTGAATTTTTCTTCTGAAATCATCAAACTCGTGACGATATAAAATACAATAATAAAATTACAGTATGCCATCAGTGCAATCGAATTCAAAGCATCATCTGCTGATTTGACTAAATATGATAACTGATTTGTGGAATATATTATATTCCCAATACATTTTGGCTTTACATTTGGAATATTAAGTTTGATTTTCAACAGTTTTCCAAACTTTTCAACAATATCTCCCAACACTGTATAGTTTAAATCAATAAGAAATATCGCAAAACCAGAGGTTATTAGACAAACGCAACTATTCACTATACCAAATGCAAGCACGAAAACAATTTTCAAATCTATAGCTGGAATATCACCCCATAATGCAGTAATAAGAAATTTGATGTTATTCCAGTCAAAGTAAAGCATAATAATTAGAAAAATTACTGAAAACACTATAGAAGTAAAGTGCAAAAGAATGAGGATTCTTACTATTCGATTGTAGCCTATATTATGGCACCCATGCATCAACGTTAAATGGTGAATATTTTTAAAAAGTTTCCACAGTTTTCTTCGATTTATAATGATAATAATTATTATGACGGAACTTAAAAAAAAGCTAAGACATGCAGTTAATCGTATATGAAAAGAATTCATAAATATGTCAAAAATGTACAAACCTGTGACAAGAGATATAAGCGCAAATAAATTACTAACGAAGGACCAAATTATTTGTAAATTTCTCCAGTTCTTTTTATTTCCATAATATTTTAGTGGAACGCCTAGAATGTTTGAAATAACAAAAATAAGTTGAAATGACTTCTGAAAATTATTCATTACTTTTAATTATCTATATTGCAATCACAGCAAAAGAAGCCAAAACAACTCCTGAAGTTGATGCACTGTTTTCGATTGTGTATAAAGGTTAACCAAAGCAAAAGGCTACCTTTTGCCTTGGTGACTTCTGATATGACTTCTGATGTTGGTGCACTGTTTTAAAAATCATATATCAGGCAATCAGTAGAAAAGAAATCGAAGTGATTTCTAAATTTTCTGCATCACTGTTTTCCATAAAGTATACTGGACACTCGAAAAAAATCAAATTACTGCGAAATTTGTGCTCTATTTTAACTGGACAATCAATTCAAAAGATTTTTAGATTAATTTTGTTGATGCATTGCTTTTAGTTGAAAATATTGAACAGCGAAGGAAATTAAAATGACTCCAAAAGTTGGCGCATTGAGTATACTGGAAAAACAGAGCAAAAAATTAAATATAGCAGTAATTGATTACAATCGTTTTAGTGTTTCTTTTTTAGGGCATGTT